GGGGAAGCCAAAAGTTCACGCACGGGGAAGCCACATCCCGTTGCCAACAGCAACCCAACGCCGCTTGCACTGCAGAATTACTACAGCCACTTCATCGTGGTGAAGTAATGCAGGAAAAATGCTTGTTATTCTTTGCCTTCTTCACCCAGCGACACCGTGACCCATCTTCATCCCTGTGACACAAATCTCTATTCCTGTCACACCCGAAATGACAGGGCAGCACAGAGACACTAAAACCAAGACTCAGAAGAGCCTCAAGCTAGTGCCCAAAACAGTGTTCTGCATCTCAGATGTGTTGGCCACCGCAGCACCTACCAGAGATCAGTTTGGAAATGCTGGCTTAGGAGAGAAACAAATGCGTTCTCCTTATTCCCAGACCCAGCAGAGAGCTCAGCACAGAGCAGTCCTGGCTGTGTGAGGAGCTCTGCTGGTGCAGGCAATGGATCGATGCCAGCTCGCAGCAGCTCAGGATCTGGTTGCTCTTCTATTTGTGCATGGACTGTGCTAAATCCTGCCAGTGATAGGTAGTGTCTGTCCCTGGCCCTAAAGCCCTCAGAGACTTGGAGTGTGCCCAGCCTGTAAATCAAACTTCCAGCACTCCAATGACAAAGGGGAAAGGAAGGTGGTGGGAGAGATCATCCACCCCCAGCTCTACTGCTTGAGCTGTGGGCCCTGGGCCATCCTGGCACTCAGCCTCCCTGTCTGGCCCTCTGCAACCTGGACCACAAGGGGGCTTGGGAACAGAAATATCCCCACCTGGACCTGGACCTGGTTGTCTAAGCTAAGTCAGAAAACTTCCATACAGAACTGCTTCTAGAGCTCAGTCTGTGGGCTTGGGAATCATCAGCATGAACAGGACCCTGGGAGCGTGAACGAGAGCCCCTGTTCTCACTAGGCCAGATTTTCAGCTGGCTCATTTTAACCTAGCCTAACTTCTTTGGTTTTCCAAAACTGACACCTCATTGAGCTGAAGGCCTAACTCATTTTGTTTCTAAAGTTCAGGAGCTGTTCATGATCTAGAGCAAAAGCTCTCTGCAAAGCCCTTGGGCCTGCTTCACTCCTTGCACTTTTTCAATTTTTTATTTCCTTGGTAGCGGCTTTTTTAAAAATAGGTATTATCATCATGGAGACTTTCCCTGAATAGCACAGATTGATGGATTCTGTCTGAGCAGCTGCTTGATCTGCTCAATAATTCCTTCCCTTTCCCTGCTGGGCTGTAGGTGCTGCTGCTGCTGTTGTGACACCGATTTCAAACTTGCCACCTTTGTGCCCCAGTGTCCCCTACAGCTGAGCTCTGCTGTCAGTGACGGCTGGGGATGTCCAGGTGGTTTAAAGCAGGTGCCCATGGTCTGGTGGTCAGTGAAGGACACAGTCCCTTTCAGCTGCAATGAACTCGTGACTCAGCATGACCTTAGGAGAGACCAGACCAGAACTGCTGTTACTCACCTTTCTCTAGACACTCTCGGGAGTTTGACAGCTCCCAGTCTCCCAGGCACTTCACAATCCCCCCTTGCTTCCCAAAGTTGTTCTCAGGGACCCGTGAGACAAACCCTGCATGTGTGGCAAGACATTTACCTGCTCGGGGAGATGCAGGACGAGTCAAGGTGGCTGCTCCAGCTGCTGACTGACCACAGGGCAGCCTGGTGCTGCTTTCCTGGTGTGATTCCTCTGCCTCAGCAGTCAGTGACAGATGTTAATCACGCTGTGAAATGCAGTTGTGGGCAGCAGTAAGGCATCACAGTATGGGAACTGCGCAGTAACCTTGCCTGGAATAGAGCAGAGTGGAGCAGAACAATGGCTCATTTCTCTTTGCAGGCACATCTTTTTCTGTTCAGAGCTCATTAACCCCTCTGTCCCAGCTGCATTCCAGCTAAATGTCTGCTAAACTGCAGAGAAGTTACCAGAGAACTGCTACAGTACTTCCTGGGGTCAGCTCTGCTCCAGAGTTAGCTGCATTTTCATGGAAGCACCTCCATGAAGCATAATGTTATATACAGTGGTTTTATAAACAAAGTGTGCAAATACTTTCCACGGGCTCATCCCACAGCATTTTGCAACTCCTGATCATTTGCACAATAGAAGCCTGAAGCAATTAAAGCCTTTTATGCTCTCAGCATGAATAGATCTATCAAATTTCACAACTCCAATCCAAAATTGGACTAACTTTAAAATTAATACTGATAATTACCAGAGCATGACTAAGCTTGAGTGGGTTCTTTCCTGGGGGATTTGAGAAATACTCAGTGTCTTTAGTAGCATGGGGGGACCAGTGCAACCCACAGTTTCCAGAGCTCATGGGATGTCACCAGTGACTAGCACAACAAGGAGCTCCTACTTTGGAGTCAATAAAAAGCATCCTGAGATATGGATGCCTCACAGCTGAGTGTCATTTTATTGGATATGTTCCCAGTGATATGTGTAACTTTACAGAGATTTCCAAGAGAAGAAGCAGGAAAATGCTGTATCTCCTGGGGCGGATAGAGACCACCTGGTTCAGCCTGGGGCAGACCAAAGACAGGGGTTCTGAAGTTGTCCCCACATGGATCTGCCAAGTGCCTGCAGGGAGGCAGAGCTGAGCAGTGAGGGGAGAGTTATTGCTGACTTCAAGTGAATCAGGCATGGCTTTGGGGCCCTCAGTACCCCCAAAAAATCTTTTGCTTATTTTGAGTCGACATTCAGAAACTGTCCTGGTGAATCGGGGAACTGTGGAAAAGGCTGTGCCCATCTCCAAGAGCTCTGCACTGTTCATCTGTTCTCATTCTGTCCTAGGCAGAATCCAGCGTGGTTCCCATGAAGGAAACCCATCAGTGGTGATGCTCCAGGACAGCTCTCACGTGAGGGTCCTCCATAGGAAGGGCAGCTCTGCACTCTGATGGGTGAGGACACCAGCTCGGTGACAGGAGCTCCCAACAGCGGGCAGGATGAGTTACAGCTCACCCTCTGTGCACGACTTGTATCACAGCACCCCCACCACAGCCAGGCCAGACCCAGGGACAGCTCTGGATGTGACTGTACCAGAAACAGCCACCATAAGCCCTGAGACTACCAGCTTCAACAGCACCAAAATCCCAGATGTGGCCAGCACTGGAGCCGGCATGAGCACGATGCTGCTGTCCTTTGGGATCATTACTGTGATTGGGTTGGCTGTAGCTATGGTAAGAGAGCCCAGCTAAATAATCCTCTGTCTCTTGAGGGTGGAGGGTGGCAAGGGGTTCTAGGACTGATTTGGGTTGAATAATTTATTTGTATTCTACTAAAGACTCACCCAGAACTGCTAAGAATTGATAGTTCCTGAGATCCCTTTCTTTTTAAAGCCTTTATCCAGTGCTCCAGTATTTCTGCAGGTCCTGAAGTCTCCAAACAGGATGCCCAGCAGGCCTAGAAGAAGCCTTATGTAGTATTTGTTTTTCATAGCAATAGGAAGTTCAATTAAAAGAACACAAAGCAGATATTCTGTTCTGACTTGTTACCTGAAACAGTTGCATTGATTTGAACCTTGTCAACACTGGGGACCTGCAAGAAAGTTCATACAAATTAACTTTTACAGCAGACTGTTGAAACCACATTGATCTCCCCTGTGGACATGGGGTAATTGTTTTTGAATTAAAGTGGCCTGAATCCATCCTAGCGAGACTCACTCTGGACTGCACGTCCCAGGCTGTGCTTGCTGGGTATCCGTCCTTGAGGGTTTGCTGTGTCACTAACCTTGCCATTAATGCTGTGGGCAGCAGCTTTCAGAAACCACAGTTTCGGGCCCAAAACAGGCAGTGCAAATGCTGTAGTAGTTGTTCTGATACATAACCAGATCGTTTCCCTGCCAACAGAGAAGAGGAGGGAGCAGCAAGCTCCCGTTCCTCGTACGAGGAAGGGCTTCACTAACACAACCAGCAGAGGAGCCTACTGCAAAATTTCATTGCAGGCCCCGGGAGGAGTTTTTCCAAAAGCCCCTAAGAAAACCTGGAAACGGTCATAAGTTCCCAAGAGCAACCTGCAGCATCCGTAGTTCTCAGCACAAGGCTGTGGAGGCCCAAAGCCTCCCTTTCTTCCCAGCGCAGCCGCTCGTTCCGGCTGACCGAGGCAAGTCCCTGAGCATGCCCTCTTTGCTTCTTCCCTTTCTGCTGGGGAGGGGGTAGCAGCACTTCTACAGATGAAAACCACAAAGGGAAGCTTTTCCATCCACTCTTGAACTGCAACATACGTCCTGCAGCCACAGCAATGTGCTGAGCTACACCTAATAATACACCTAATACTCTTACTCCTACTAACACACCTAATAACAGGCCACTCGAGCACTTAGTGCCAGACATGATGTGCTGCCAAGTTCACACTGATCCACATGGAATTTCATTTCCAGTTGTCACTTCTCCCTTCCCCCTGCTTTGGTGCACAGTGACACCAACCTTCTACACCTCCCTTCTGTGTGCCCTGTGCCCAAAATTTCTGGGCTGCTCCTCATCCTGCCAGGACTGTTGTAATGGTGGTTCTCTTTCTCCTTCAGGTTCTGTATATCAGGAAGAGGAAGAGGTAAGTAATGTCTGTTGTTGGCTGAAGGGAACTCAGTGCTTCAAAATCCAGAGTGGGCTGGGAAGGACACAGGGAGATGGGGAGGGCATAAACGAGGGCTGTCTGAGAACAAGGCTGCAGGAATCAGCTGTGTGGGACAGGCAGGGACACTGCACTCCTGGCACTGGCCCATCCTCTGACACCAGAGCTTCAAAGACTCCTCCGCAGCTTTGGAAGGAAAATCAGGTTGAGCAGGAGGAGGTTGGGGATCCTGCAGACTTCACTCTTCATCTGTGAGATGCACCAAAACACAGCAAAGAGTTATGGGTGTATAAAGGAGCTGGGAACTCTGTCATGAAAGGTGTGAATCTCAGGTTTCTGCCATTCCCAGATCCCTGTTTTCCAACAGCCCAGACAGTGACAGCAGCTGGCAGCAGCACAGTGCAGAGATGCAGCTCTCTAGCCCAAGACTTGCTAAGCTCCTAGCTGAAAATAGAGAGGAGAGCAGCATGCAGGGAGACAAATTACTTGTTTCTCCTGTCTCTGACAGCAGGACCAGTGAAGATCCATTGGCTGTGGTACCTCCTCCCTACCTGATTCCTTGGGGCAGGCCTGGCCTGGCCACAGACTTCCAAGAAGAGCTGCTGCCCACTGTAAAATTTCCAAGCCTGACCCTGCAGCCCAGGCCTGGATACTGCCACAGGAGCAGCTAATGCTTGGCCTGTGAAAGTAGCACTGCTGGAGATAATGGTTGTGCTGGCAAACCCATCTAGAAGCAAGGAAAGAATGTGTCATCCTCACACTTGCCAAAATAGATATTTGTGGTGATACTGCCAGTAACTGCTTGTGTGTTTCCCTCTGCCACCCCCCAAAACTCGGCTACAGCCCGAGGCAGGGCTCAGTGCTTTCCCAGGACCATGCCCATCCATCGTCCATCTCTGAGCTGCCCAGTACTTAGGGAGACTCCTTGGGGTAACACTTCATAGCTCTGTCTCTTGGAGCAATGATACAAGAGCAGGAACAGTCTGCAGGCATCAGCCTCCTGTGAGAATCTCCTCTTTCCTGTTCTCTATTCATTGTTTATTATTTTCTATTTATTTTTATGTACTTCAGCCCTGGAGTTAAAGTACTGTTAGGTCACTGGAGCAAGAAGTGTCCTGCTGCTGGCAGACAGTGGGACATGGCAGGACAGGCTCTTGTGGGCACAGGGACGGGGGGAGAAGTCACAAGATGCCCAGCCAGTATGTTCCACTGGCTCTTTTGTGCTTGATCTTTTAAGGTCTGTGGGAACTTAAATCTCTGTCTGATTCCTCCGTGTGTAATGCCTGCCAACACTGATTAGTGATGGCAATTAATCCCTGTAACTGCACTCTGGGTGTCTTCCACTCCTGCCCGCTGAGTGTAGTAGGTTCTTCTCCTCATCCCTGCAGGACAGGACACAGCCCTTACGCAGCAGGAGCCACAGGAGCAGAATCCCTGGGCAGCAGGAGCAGCAGCCTGGAGAAAGCCTCAGCAGTGGGGTGGGGAAGGCAGCCTGAGCATCTGTTCTTCTCAACCAACCCTTTTCCCTCCCCTCCCATGGGCAGGTTGGAGAAGCTACGGCACCAGCTGATGCCCATGTACAACTTTGATCCCACTGAGGAACAGGATGAACTGGAGCAGGAGCTGTTGGAACATGGGCGAGATGCAGCATCTTCCCAGGCATCACAGAGCAAGGTAGGAAAGACCAGTGAATCTCTTAGTACAGCCACAGGTACCTGCACTGCTTTTCTTACAGACACAGAGGGGGCTTGTGAACTAAGACCTCAGGAGGACTTCCTCACCTCTGCCAGCCCCGGAGACTTGAGCATTTTGGAGTGCTTAGGATGGACTGAGGAGTCAGGCAACTAGGACAAAGTGTCTGGGGAGACAAAGTGCTGGTTCTACTCGAGTAGGAGAGAGAAAAGGGCAACTTGAGTAATTAAGGATGAGTTTACTACAGTTTACCACCCAGAGCACCACAAGGGAGCAGTAGGATGAATGTAGTTTTCTGGGAGACAGGACTTCAGTGCCCACAAAGCACTAAGGCTCCTTTGCCCTTGCCCTGAAAAGCAAGTAATTTCCACCCAATTCCAAGCTATCCCCACTTTGCCTAAGGATTCAAGTGTGGAACGAGGCCTTGCTGAGGGAAAGCCTGTAATCATAAGAGCTAACTGTGCTGGAAGCCCTAAGAACACAGACAGAGCCTGCACTGCTGGGGCACAGCACAGCTGGGCTTGTCTGCACCTCCAGGCCAGCCCTGCTGGGCACAGAGCACACCTGGCTCAGACACACAGAAGAGAGCAGGGTTTTCTATTTGAGTTTGGGGTTAGAGAAGAAGCAGCTCTGACCCCTTCTGAGTGCTCCAAGGTGTGCAGTGTGCTGAGAAATTACCAGGCCCTCAGAGACCACTGACTTATTACATCTGTGAGTTAGAAAGAGCTTGATACTTTGGCCTGTAATTTTTGACTAATGGTCCAGGTGGGTCTTTGACGAGAGGATATCTCCTTCCCAGTGTAGCAGGAGGTAGGAGAAATAGGGAAGAAGGGCTACTCACCATCATTTGAAGCCAGCTTCAGAGTGTTTTCTGTTTCCTCTGTCACCTCCACCACACAAAAAGCCTTTCTGAAAGAGCCAGCAGGGATGGTTGGAACAGGTACATCTCAGCCAGTGATACAACCTCTCCTTTCTTGAATGCCTCACCAGTTGCTCTGTGCTGCCCATGTCTTCCCCTGGTTTTCCTGTCCAGGAGCAGGAATTCTCCCAAACAATTCTCAGTCTTTACACCTTCAGATAATCTGTAGCAAGCTTGGTGTGGGCAGAAAGGGAAAGAGGAGATACTAAATAGAAACGTAATTATAAAATATTTACCTTGACCTTACCCAGCCTGCTGAAGAGCACAAAGGAGATGTGTGTGTTTGAATATAAAAGACAGTCAATCTATGGAATATGCTGGTTTGGGAAAGCAAGAAACGTGTTGTATAAAAGCAAAAGATCTTGTCCTTAGAGTAGCACATACTGGGAAAACATCAGATCCCTCTATTAGTCCACACAGGGGACTTCCCTGCAGGTAGTAGAGAGGAGGAATTATAAGGGCAGAAGTAACCTTAGTACAGTAAAAGCAGATCCTTCCTATACAGGGACTGGCCAGCAGGATACCTCAGATCCCTCCAGAGCTTGCTAAGGCAGATACCTGTGCTTGGAAAGTAAAAGAGTTTAAAGGCTTAACATAATAAGAGAGGGAGAGTCTAAAACAACAGCCCGAGTTCAGGCAGTGGCATGGTTCCAGGCCTCCTTGATGTCTCAAGTCCTTTCATGCTGCCTTGTATATATAAATAGGGAGACCCAGTAATCCAATGATGTGGGGATTTTCACCTGGCACGATGTGCTGCCTTACTCCCCAGCCTGTTGTATTTTCATGTCACAGCCTCGCTAACGCCGTTAGCCAGGCAGCCCCCCCGGGAGGGATGAGCCCGGGTCCAGCAGTGCAGCCCGTGCCGAGGCAGGGCAGCCGTGCTGGCTCTCACTGTGCCTGTCCCTGCAGGTGCTGCTGGCCGGGCAGGGAGCCGTGCAGAGACCCAGCCGCCTCGTGTTCACCGACGTGGCCAACGCCATCCACGCGTGACAGCAGCTGCCCCGCCGGGCCCACCGAGGACGAGGCAGCAGAGCAGCGACTTCCCGCCCGCACGGCCGATCCACTGAGCCCCGCTGGGCACCCCGGGGGTTTGTGTTACCACCCCTCTGGGAAGCAAACCCTTTGTGAGGGCAGTGGTGATTTTTTGGTGCGTCTGTTCCCACTGAAAGGTCCCGAGCTCCCGTTTCTGGGCTGGCGCTGGCTGATTCCACCTGCCAGGCTTTGTGCTTCGGAACAGCGCCTGCTTTGTGTAGATTACCCTGTCAGAGCACACGTGTGGGCTCTCTGGGCCAGGGAAGGAGGACAGGTGCACGTTTCAGGCACCTTCCCCCTTGGCTTTGTGTCACCAGGCCCCAAGGAAAGCGATGAATGAGCCTCTCTGTGCAGTGACCACAGCTCTGGCAGGTCCTGGGAGTGGTGGGGGGGTGACTGGTGGCAAAGCCCCTTTGAGCAAGGAGAGCTGAGTGGTAACTGGGGCACACCAGGGAAAACACACACCAGGGGTTTATCCCCACTGTGGTGATAAATGAGCACCCAGAGTGACGTTGAAGCGTGGGGAATTCAGTAGCTTTAAAAAGTGAAACAGAGAACATTTGGCCAATTACATCTTAACTGAGGAAGTGGCTGAATATCCCAAATCAGGGCTATTCCACAGAGAGAGTGGAACTCACACAGCCAGAGGCAGGGGCTGTCAGGGTCTGGCTGTGTGACTCTATGCTGCTGAACTAACAGTGCTTGGGCCACAAAGAGGAGTTGAGTTGGGGTTCCAATATCTCGTATCCCCTCCTGCTTTGGCTCAGGGAAGTTTCTACAGGGCAGAGTGTTATCCAGAAAAAAAGATTAAGCTTTGCAATATTTTCTTTTAAATAAAGAAAAACGTGTTGGCTCAAACATTACAACAGCTCCATGGCTGCCCCCAGAGGTGACTAACATCTGGTTTGTACTTCCTTACCTGCCAGGACCTGCAGTCAGAGCTTTCTCTTCTTCCCACTGAAGGGAACACAGAGCTTTGTGTTAGCCTCTGCTCATGTCACCTGCTAGGAACAGGTAGGTGGGACTAGACAGGTAAGCCAGGAGTTTCCCTTAGCCCTGAAGCATCTCTCTGCCTGTGCATCCTTCAGAGCTGCAGGAGGAAGAGAGTGCAAAGGAATCTCTGGCCACCTTGGCATGTGGCAGTGCAGTGTGGGGTCTGTTCTCTGCCAGTGGGCACCAGCCCCAAGGGCTGCAGACCAGCACAGCAGTGCCCAGCACCAGTGCCCAGCCCTGCCCTGAGCCCTCCTGATCTTTTTCTGGTACGTGCATTTGTCAGTCAGATCATATTCCATCCACAGTCAAAGCAGAATCAGGGCAAGCCAAAATTTGAACGCAGATCCAAAGCTTTATACAAGGGGATGTTTCAGAATGGCAATTCAGGTATCATGTGCTTTGCTGCAAGTCTGGACCTGCCAGTTAGTTTTAGTTCTCCCAAATATTTTTTTTCCTTCCCCACTGTTTTTTCCATATTCATCAAATGCAGGCTCTTTCCTGGGCATGTGCCACTGACCCCTGCAGGGCACAGCTCCTTACCAGCCCTCCCTCCTTCACTGACACAGCTGCCCTCGTGGCAGCTTTGCAGGGCTAAGTTGCTTCAACTTTTCACTATCCTGCTGTCTTTGTAAAAACTAGGGAGTACATTAGGACTGGGAGTGTGGAAAACAGCCCATCCTTCAAAGCCAGGAGACCTGGCAGGACGCATTCCTGGGCTGCTGCTGTTTGCCTCCAGGGATGCTGTTGGAAGGAAGGTGCCTGGGTACAAATACTCAGTTTAATCCAGATTAGCCCTTAGAATTTGGGCTCTGTCTGTGGGTCTTCCCAGAGGTCATGACCAGCTGAGAAACAAGCACCCCTACACACACACACACGCACTTACCATCTCCAGGTGCTCCCTGGGAGTGGACAGCCCCAGTTCTGCAGCAGGACAGGGATGCAAGGGGCAGGGGGGGTGCACGGCCATCCTAAATCGCAGAGCTTACCCCAGAAATCTGAGGATCAGAACTTAATTGGTTGTTTTAAACTCAATAAAAGGCAAGTGTAAGCTGAGCTGTTTCCTCAGTCCCACAGCCCACCTAGTGCTCCTCCCCCAGCTCCGTGTGCTGCCCTGGGAGCTGCCCAGCAGTGCATGTGCCAGCTCAGGTGCAAAGACTGCACCCTGTTCCAGCTAATACCGAGATAAATCTTGTACAACAAACACACCTGCAGAGGAATTCTCTCCAGCCATTCTTCCTGTGATGGTAGGCTTTGTGTCCTGTGATGACTGCCCTTAGATTAAAGTACAGATAATAAGGCTAAAAGAATATTAGAGGTATTTGCTGGGCTCGTACTGGAGTATTCTTTTAGTTCCATAGCACCTCCTCACAGTTCTTGGGAGTGTATGTATAATTTAGCAGAAGCATTATGATGTAATTTAATTCAAGTGTTTCTGTGTTTTAAGCATTGAAATATAATTAAACTATTTACATGAAAATCTAGTGTGATTGTCTTTTTTCCCCCACATCATTTGCATTTTCTGCAGAAAACTGCTGAAGTGGATCCTCGGTATCTGTTGGTAATTTGTGTGCAGTGAATTCCCCTGCTCTTTCAAAAACTGAACTGAGTGTGAAAAACATGGAAGGGGAAGCTGTGCAGGGGTCAGGGTTTAGTGTCCTACAGAATGGAAACTCAGACATCTTCAGGAAGGCTTGGTGGAGAAGTCGGGAGAGCAGAAGCTTCCAGCTGAGCCAGTCCTGGGCATCCAGAGCACAAAAAGACAAATTCAAACTTGTCTGTTTGCCATATTATCCTTTACCCAGCTGAGCTCTGCACAAACTAGGGGGTCATCAGCACTGGGGTGAGCAGAGCCGGCAGCAGTGGGAGCTCCATGATGGCACTGGGATGATGACAAGGAGCTCCATGATGGCACTGGGATGATGACAGGGAGCTCCATGATGGCACCAAACACAACTGTCCATGTGTTTTGGATTTGCTGCTGCCTCACCTTCTGGCCAACAGCCCCCAGGCTGGGCACTAGTTAGGAGAGCTGTCAGATTAACTGAAGAGGTGATGCATAGCAACAGAATTAACTGTATGAAAAGCTAAATACCTGTATAGCCCACAGAACAATGGGGGGGGAAACGGACTTGACTGTTGAGCCTTCTGGATGTGCACATGAAGCAGAAGTGGCTTGTGTTCCAATCAAACCTCCAAGATAGACAAGAGGATGGAATTAGGTACCCACATTTGGGCACAGGGGCCTTTCTGTTCTCCTCCATGTCTGATTCCTCATGCTCATTTCTTGTTTTCACATTGATCTGTGGGTGCTCCTGAATGACCAAATCTTGTTTTATAACCCCCTAAACTCCAGTTCTGATCAAGAGCCACTCACCTTGTCTGGTGATGTGCATGTGTGCTGAGGGTGTTGCACAAGGAGGAGGCAAAGCAGAAGTCCAAGGGGCTTGTGTTTCATACCTTTATTTCAAACAAACTTCAAGGCTAATTTTCAAGTTGCCAACGCTCTTTATGCCTTCACCAAAACCATTTATGAGAAACTTCCCAACTTTGCTAGATAACAAACCTCATTTATCTTCTGTGTTCTGACCAACTGTAATGACCTCTTAGTTTTGGCCAAGTGAGACTAAAACTGCCTGAGTTTAAAAACCACTTGAAATGCATTTGCTTAGAGGTAGGATTTGGCTACACAGAGAAGGTAACTAACAATATGAAAAATAAGAAGTGATTAACATTTCAAAAAAGACAATCCAAGTAATCCAGTGTGAGATCCTAGCTCTCTGAAGATGGCTGGAATTCTGCCCACCTTTCATAGGCATTTGCTTCTGTTCTAAGACTGCATAAACATGGCAGCTGAAGCTATGGATTGGGATTTCAACTACACACAGTAGCTCCTAACAGTGTGGAATTCTGCTTCTTCTCCTCAAGCACCTGCATTTTTATGGAGATGTGTTTTCTACTGTGGTTTTCCAACAAAATGTTAAGAGGTAGCAAAGACTAGATTTTTATCAAACATTTTAAGAAAAGTACTTTGTATGCATTCCCAGAGGAATACTGCTGACCTAAAGAAAATGGATTTACTATCTAGCCAAGGCAGTTTCCACCCCTATTCCATGCCACCAGCTGAGAATGGTCTGACTGATGGCACAGGAAAAGCTCGAGTCTCTCACAGATGTAATCCCCAATCCATTTAGGAGAAGCTCAAGTTCCAGTCTCACACTGTGACAGGTGTTGCTCTCAGGTAACAGTGATTAATTAAACAGGCAGTACAGCCTTGCAAGCAGAGTACTGAACCTGCCAATTCACCTGAAAATCACGTACAGAAGTTGGTACAATATTTTGGTCTGCCATTGGAGTGGCTTTTGAATGCAGACAGAAACAGCAGCTGAACTCGTGTGTCCACTGAAGAGCAGCAGCTCCCTCACCCGATTTCAGGGAAACACCAGTTGCATCTTTCTCGTGTAAACATCAACAGTTACAGATTTACATGTGTCATGTCCCACCTGGATTTATCCACACAGCAGGAGTCAAACTCTTCCCACGTCTGGCAGCAGAGCTTATCCCACAGCATAGGATTTAGGTCAGTCCCTGTGATCTAATCCAGTCAGTCCTTGATTTCTTTGCTATTTGGTAGCACAGGCACAAAAGTTATCCCTGATGCAGTTTTCTGCTGTGACCATCAAGCTCGCAGAATTAGGACCAGGACTCTGATCACTACTAAGCAGAATTAATGGGATCAGGACTCTCATCACTGCTGAACTGGATGGACTGGACAAAATGACTTAGAAAAAAAAAAAGGCACTTTTCCTCCCTCTTATCTCTTAATCAGCCCTTCCTCTTAATTCTGCATACATTTTCTTGTGTTAAATAAATACTTGCCAAGGGAACAGAACTCTGATGAAAGGATAATAAATGAGCTCAATATATACTGCCATTTCATGGGTGTCTGCTATGCACCACCATAAATTTAAAGCCAATTATGTTCTGTTTAAATATTTAACACTGTAAAGCTAGCCAATTTTACATCCTGTCAGATATAATTGAAATACCCACTTTGTCCCTTTAATAGGCAGGCAGAGAGACGGAAAATACCACCGGGATTTCACTGTT